ACTTTTTACAAAGGTTGGAGGCCGAACAGACAAGGACTCCCAGTGATATTGGGAGCTGCTCCGAAAGTATCTGTTGAGTTGACCGAACTGGTATTTTCACCACGTGGTACTTTCCAGTACCTGGTATGTTTCAGCGTGAGAGGCATGTCTAGAGAGTCTGAAGCCTGTGCAGACATTCTTCCCTTGGCCTCTCATTCCTCTGGTCTCAGTTACTAGCACCTCCCTTGGGGCACAATGGAGGGTGAAGCTGCAGTCGGTTCCGCCTCAAATTGGTCCTGTTCTGGATTTTATCTTCCTGCCCTGAACAGTGAGATAAACATACTTTTAATCCCCATTTTTTATGTACTCACTAGAAAGCAGACAAGGTTGTTCCAGAATGGATTTCCTGTGTCATAGAAATCACAGAAGCATAAAAGGGAAAACCAGATGTGCACGGAGAGCCTGCCTGGGCTTACACATTCTTTCATACCCAGAGTCATAGGGCTTTATGATCTGTGTTCCCAAAGCCAGCTCAGTTTTTCCCCTTTTGAATACGTCCTCTTGCTCATAGTCCCAGTTTAAGAGCTCGGAAGAAGAAAGCAGGGACCTGGGCTTATGCATCGGGTGTATCTGTGGGTGTCTTCACACGTGCGGGGGCTTGTTTGCAGGAAAGTGTGGCTGTGCAGATCTAAGCTGCTACTCCAGGGATACCCCTTAGCTTTGAATAACCTACGTGCAACCTATCAGTCCTTTCTCTTCAATGAGATGCAAAGCCCACCTTCTCCAGGAAGGCCTTCCAGATTGCATAGATCAGAGAGAAGATGCCAGTTGCCCCAGGCATACCTGCAAGCGACTTTCTCTTTAGAGTTCCTGCATCTTGTGCCTTTTAGAACGAAAAGCTTAAAATAGGTGCTGGGTCTGTTTTTGTCACTTGGATACACTGTGACTTTTCTCAGTCAAAAGAAGAGCATCAAGTATGCTACAAATGCACAATTTGCAGTATCATTCTTTTCAGTAGTATTCTTTTGAGGTCGTGGTGTGGAATCTGTGTTTAGAACTCTGTATCATAGAGGTAATAGAAGTCCCTGGTCTAAGTGGATGAGAAGCAGGGTGGCGGGCAATTGGGCAGCCGGTATCCCGATGCCCTAATGTAGGAGAGCTAAACTCTGGATGAACGAGTGGGATTAAAGCAGGGGATACAAACCTATTCAGGGGTAACTTTTTGGCAGTCAAACTGGAGCCTTGATTCATGATTATTTCTTGAATGCCTACTGTATGTTAGACACTGTTCTAGAAGCTGGGGATACACAGTAAAGAAAATTGCAGTCTGTACTATCCCTGAATTTGTAGCCAAGTGGATGGAAACAGGCTGTCAGGTGGTGATAAGTGCTAAGAAGGGAAATAAAGCAGGGCCAAGGGATGTTTGGGTGGTGCTGTTTTAGATAGGTTAGCGAGGGAATGTCTTTCTCTTAAGAGTGCTTTTGAACAGGGACCAGAATCAAGTGATAGAGCTGGCCATGTGGATATCTGGAGGAAGACCATTCTGGCTTAAAAAAATGGGCTTGCAAAGGCTGCGCTGGAGTGGGTCTGAGGAGGAGAAAGGGGGCCAGGGGGCTGGCACTGGGGGAGCCAGGGAAGAGTGGTGAGTGGTGGGGCCAGAGAGTTGACTTGGGGCCTTGTAGTGAGGAAGGTGGGAAGCAGTTGGTTTGAACAGAATGGTAATCTGATCTGATTTAGGTTTGAAAAAGACCACTCTGGCTGCTGTAGCGTTGAGTGGAATGTAGGTAGACAACAGAAAAAGCAGTTAGAAGCCTATTGTGCAAGTCCAGCTCGGATTCTGGGTATATTTCATAGATAAAACCAACAGGATTTTCTGGTGGGTTCAATGTGGAACATGAGAGAAAGAAAGGCGTTAAGAATTAAAGAAAGGACTCCAAGCTTTTGCTTGTCTATTTGTTTCCTGAGCAACTAGAAAAACAGAATTGCCATTTACTGAGATGGGGAGAAGCCAATTTTGGAGGGAAATCAGAAGTCTGGTTTTAGACATAATACATTTGAGATCTGATCCAACATCTAAGTGAAGGTGTCAAGTAGATCATTGGTGACTAGAACCTGGAGTTCAAGAAGCCAAGTTATGTATAAAATGAGGCTCTGGTGGAACTTGAGGACTTGTTTCATTCCACAGGCCTCATCCTGTTCTAAATAAATGGTTAGAAAGTTCACCAACCCTGACATCTTCTGAGCATCTGAAGCATGCTTGCAGGGAGTGCCTGGACCACAGGTGGAATAGCTCATCAGTCCCCCAGGTCCAGCTAGCAGTTCATCATTAACCAATGTTTATCACGTGCCTGCTCCATGCCAGGCACTCTACCAGATGTTGGGTATTCAATGGAGACAAGACACATTGCTTGTCATCATAGAATATTTAGTCTTGTAGAAGATGAGGACAGGAGAATGGCGATTTTGGTACAATGAGATGCAGGGGCGAGTATAGGTGCTATTGGACCTGAAGGAGAGGCACCTAATCCAGTCTTGGAGGCCAGAGAATGTGCTATCTGGGATGACTCCTGAAGGATGGATAGGGATAGCGAGGTACAGGGGTGAGAGAGAGGGGTGGAGAGTGTCCTAGGCGAAGAAAAGCAATGAAAAAAAGTCAGTTCAGGCAAAGGACGAAAGTCCAGATTAGCACACGCGGAGTGCAGAGTGAAGGAGGTAGAGACAGAGAGAGGCAAGGGGTGGCTGGAGAAGGAATTAACGAGCCATGCCATGAAGGACCTTAATGAACAATGGTGGGACTTTATTATAAAAGCTCCAGGAAGCCTTTGAGGAGTTTTAAGCGGAAGAGAGAGGCTAGTGGCAAACGGGGATTGGAGGGAGGCAAGCCTGAAAACAGTTCCATTGACGGACTGGAGAGGGTGGTGGTCTCTGAGACTGCCCTAAAGATCACCTTTAAATGTGTCCCCATAATAGGAAGCAAGGACGGGTTCTGCTTTGCTTAACCCCAGCTAAGGGGGGACAGTCTCTGAGAAGCTACTTACTTTGATGGAAAGAAGGTACAGGTGCCTACATTTTAAGAGGGGACCAGAGCGTAGAAGGAAGCGAGGTGAAAGGCAGTTGTAGGATGGGACAGCCTCCAGGGAGGGCAGGCTCCACTCACAGAGGGTTCCGGGGAACCAAAATTGGAAACCAACCAGTTATACCTTTTTTTTTAATTTGAAATATAGTTGATTTACAATGTTGTGTTAGTTTCTGGTGTACAGCAGTGATTCATTTATACCTATACATATGATGAAATACATCTCTTCTTTTTCAGATTCTTTCTCATTGTAGGTTATCACAAGATATTGAAAATCATGCCCTGTGTGGTACAGTAGGGCCTTGTCACTTACACCTTTTTTCTGCACAAATTGCTTCGTGTCCCACAGGCTATGCAGTGTGTGTTTAGGACAGGAGTCTGTGCAAAGGTGCTGAGTGCAGGGTGTGTGTTTGGGAATGGATGTTTGTGAGGGGAAGTTCTCCCCAAGTCTGAGTTAATGTGTGGAACTCTGGAATGCATTCTGAGCAAGTACATACCTGCAGAGAAAGGGGATATTCATTCAGCATGTGCTGCAAGAGCACATGCCTCTGGACAGCCTGTCTCAGAACAAGCCATGGGTTCTGTTCAAATGTAGAGACTTTTGGTTCACTCTGAGCACAGCAGGCACTCACATATTTGTCCAATGAATGACTGTTTCCGTTTTATTAAAGTTCAATCGTTTTAGGAAATATATAGGTTTGGTTACAAGTTTGAACTGGACGTTTGAAGATAAATAAACTCACAGCCAGGCACCGCCATCCATTTACAAAGTCTAGCAGTTTAAATACCAGATTGGAGTTTATATACTGGCAGAGTCCTACCCTCATGTCAAAAGCTTTCACTATTTTATTTCATTCAACAAACATTTCCAGAACACCTCAGCCCGACAGCACTGGGCGTTACTGCGGGAAGTCATTTCCTTCTCCTCTAAACCACCTTAGTCTGGGTGCTGCAATAAGCTTAATTACATGCTCTTGTATTGTTCCTTAATTGTTGCATGTGCATTCATCTACTTCCAGCTAGGCTGGACGTTCCTTGGGGGCACGGACGATAATATAAACTTCAGCAGAGGTGAGGGACTTAGCAGAGAGGTGAGTGTGCAGAAGTGAGTCAACACTCACCGTCTGAGAAAAAAGGGAAACAGAACAGAAAGCTATTTGGAAATTGTAGTAATACATAATATATAACCAGATACCTTAATAATAAGGGAGCATACATTGTTGTGAAGTAAGTAAAATTTTCCTTTAGTAATAAAGTGTAAAATTCTCACCTGCATTTTCATGTGAAGGGAAAGCTTTGCAAATTAATATAATTGCTGTGATCCCCAAATGCCTTCATTCTTGTTGTTGTTTTTTTTTTTAGAAATGCAAAATAAGAATGTTTCCTTGAGGATGAGAATTCAAAGATAGAACCAGTCTTTGGTGAGTTATTCCATGGCAGAATTATCCTGTGGCAGGATTTCTCAACAGTGTCACTATTGACAATTCAGACCAGTTAATTCTTCGTTGTGTGGGGCTGGTCTGTGTATTGCAGGACATCTAGCAGCATTGTTGGCCTCTACCTATTAGCTTGGAGAATTACCACTGCCTGAAGTTGTGACAATCAACAATGTCTCCAGACGTCGCCAAATGTCTCCTGGGGGCAGAATCGTCCCCAGTTGAGAACCAATGTCCTATAGGAATTTTGGTTCTATTTAGATATTTTTGTCACAAATGGTGGGAGATGGGGGAAGGGAGATAGTATGTATTGCTTATTTGGTTTGAGCTAGGCACCATACTTATGTTTTTATTTCACCTTTCAGATAAAGCAGCTGAGGTTCAACAGAGATAAAAGAACCTGCTGAAGATCATAAAACTAGTTCAGCAGTAAAATCACGATTGCACACCGGGCTTGTCTGACTGCAAAGCCGGCACTCCTTTCAAGCACACTCCCACTGACTCTCTGCAAGAGAAACGGCGTAACTCAGAAGGTGAACTGACTGCACATTCAACAAGTATGTCCAAAAATATTTTAAAACTTTTGGGGGGAGGGGAATTATTTCTTCTGTTCATTAAGTTTATTTGAATATGTATCTATCTACGCTCATACATGTAGGCACCGGGGCCCCTCACTACCGTTGTGGCTCTGGTCTTATCTCTGAAAAACACAGAGCAACACAATGGAACAGCTTCAATTCTCCTCGTTACAAATTATACAAAAGCCAGAGCCTAACGGTGCCAAAAGCAACTGGTATTGTTTACATAAGGGCTGAAAGCTAATAGTTAACTTTCTCTCCTGTTAATTCCAGAAACAGTAAATAACGCCTCACTTTGCAACTACAAACGAGTGAGATAGAGTAAAATGTCATAAAATGGAGAAGAAAACATTAAAGCAAAGGAAAATGGAAAGGTTGGTTCCCGGCTCCCTTCCTCTCGCCTTTCGCTCGCGCTCGGCGGGTCGGGGCTGCGCGGCCTGGGTCTCGATCGCCCCCGCCCAGCGCCCGTCGGTGGCGCCCGGCGCTTTCTGGCGGCCTTTCCCGCCCTGAGGAGAGCTCGGCCTCTCTCGGAGAAGGCTGTCCTAGAGCCTGGCCTGGAAAAACAACAGCAAGAAACTTTGGCTCGGTTGGCGGCTCAGTGAAACAGGCCAACACTCAAGTTTGGTTCGGGGCTGCAGCCGCCGGGTCCGATTGGGGGTGGGGGCGGGCGGGGGCGTCACCACTCGGTCAGGTTCAAGTGCGCATGTGCGCGAGGAGTCACTCGGGCACTTATTGAGCGCCCACTGTCTACGAGCAGCCGGGGGTGTGTACGCCGGGGCGCGCG